GTAAATAATTACCATACACCGCCCCCACCCCCCCCCCCCCCCCCAAGCAACAGGTGTTGGAAGCAATATCTTAAAAACAGAAACTAAACTGCACAGATTGACAGCTCAAATTCAGTAAGCCTACCTGAGAGCACGTTATTTCGATCGCAGATCCCATCTTTCAGAAGTTTATCCCGAATCTCCCAGCTGAACATCCCTGGATTCTCTCTCTTGTATTCTTCGATTTTCTTTTCCACATCGGGAGTTGTGCTCTGCTTTCATTACAATGGTTACATCATAATTGAATTTGATGTATATTTATTCAATTGTATGATCACTTTTAAAATATCTAGAAACGATTATAACAAGAACGCACACAGATCAAATCATCAGTTTCCATTTAGTTATGATTATGCGACTATTCGCGAGAAGTTCTGTACAATTAATTAACACTGGGTTACTATTACACAATATGGTGCTTATTTCATTTTTAAGTCAGAAGATGTGTTAAACAAGGCAAAAAATAATATATGTGTTACAATCTCTTAAAAATAAGGGGTTTATTCTTTAATTCTTTAAGAAACGTCTGTGCATTAGTGCTTTAGAGACAAACGGACTGATCTGCAGACTTAAAATATTGGTTTAAGATCGTAAAAACAATAGACAAAATGATTCTAAACAATGAAACCTGTTTATTGTGGAAATTATTTGCTGAACGTAAGGTGTACACTCTTTAAAAAACAGTGGGCACAACAACGAAAATAATTAAGCATATGTTAGTCGTGAAGTTAAACGCCACACTTTATTTGCAAAACTCCATATTTAAATGTGAAACTGGATGAACTTTCTAATAAATTCAATAATACAATTCAGTTCTAGTAGGGCATGAAATGGCCTCGGTGATGTCCTACCTTGGGTTTGCTGCCACCAATAGCACCGGGCCGAATGGATCCGGTCTCCTGGTACCTGCATAAAATTTTGGACACGCATCCGTGCGACACGCGCAGCTGTCGGGAGATGACGCACGGTCGTATCCCGTGATGGGCCATCTCTACTATCTTGTGGCGGATGTGATTGGGCAGAGGGCGTCCGTTTATGAAGACTCCACCGAGCTGGTTCACGCGGCCCTGACCTAACGGCGTGGAGACTGCAGTAGGAAGAGGGGAAAGGTTGTCAATGACAGACGACGCTTTCCTTGTGCTAAAGTGAACATGTATTTTGTAAAGAAAGATATAGGCCTATAACCGCAAACTCACTTTGAAGTTTACGCTTTTATAAAAAAAAAAAATTCCTAACTAGCATCTCTAAAAGTTGTGCGTTTGCTTTCATGCTTCATTAACAGTGAAAATATATTCATGAAAGCATGACAGCTGTATGTTCTTTTCTTATTCAAATACAAAAACGACAACACAACAACAATAAAACGAATACTACTAATAATAAATGATATAAATACTACTACAAACACTAAAATGTTTTTATTAGACAAAAAAAAAATCGAATTTGTAATAATTTGCAAAGATGTTACTTGTTGACAGAACATTTTTATATTATATATTTGTATTTAAAAGCGGTCACGTTTTTTTTTTTGTTTGTTTTTTCTAACATTTCATATAAGCTAAAAGAAAAGTTTTTTTTTTTTTTACAAAATGCTAGCTTAGCATTAAATAAACTCCACTACGTTAGAATACAGGTTTCATTGTTTAGAAACAAAGATTATGAATAACATTTAAAAAACACGTTCATCATTATTGTTTTTTTGTTTTTTTTAAGTTTTGTTTTGTTTCAGATTGAAATAGTAAAGGCATCCCAAGTGGTTGGGAGCTGTAATTTTTCACATCACAAAATAATTAAACCTAGGTTTTCACTGTTAGTAACTTTATTTTTTACAATAAAATTGTAATAGTTTCAATGTCATTTCCTTTCTCCATTTAGAATATTGACATGCATCAGATCAAATATGTCTTATACAGAATCAATTTTGTGAATTCATCTAAATTCAGGCTGTTCCGTCGTAACCACAGATGCTAACACCTTACCCTCCAAGGAATAGCCTCCTCTCGGGTAGTTTTGGGGTGGCATGGGGCGCATCATCTTGGAAATGCCCCCCGCTAATGCGGTCATATCTCCTCTGCAAGAAAGAAACGGGTGCACGGAGCACTTGATGAAAAAACTGAAGTTATCCAAAGAAGAAGCGCTGATCGTCAAGTGTCAGTGGATTGCTCAAGTATCAAGTCTTCAGCTGAAAACGAAAAGTCAACTTCAAAAGTCAATCCTCGGAAGTGAATCACGGATGTCCAGGTTTTCAATCGTGGTTTATCTCAACGCAGTTTGGAAGCTAAAACTCTCAGAGCTTCGTTCCGTTGTTGTTGACACACTTGTTGTTGAGAATTGGAACGGTGATCAGTGGCGAAACATTTTATCAGTTGTTGAGTTGTTGGCTCCGTCTACCCTTCGACGACTGTGATTGGTCAAGGAGGGAGGGTCTAAAGACTTGAGAAGGCCTTCTGATTGGTCCTTAAACTTTCTTGTGCCATGACCTCGGGAGTTCAAGGGGATGTGTCACCGATAACACCCTCAGACATAAACGGTGATGCTGAGAACAATCTGGAAGATAATACTGACGTTTTCTTCAAGTAATTGAAAACATTTCAGTTTTGTTCAATGCTGTGGATTGGAGACGTGGTTTTTGACTCTGTTCCCGGAAGCTGTCCACAAGTAGACAATTTGGATGTCTTGCTTATCAAATGCACCTTATGAATCTCACAAATGGGTAATAGAGGCTCTATGGAAGTGCCACATAAGGTAGACATCCAAAAATGCCCTGGGACGAGTTGGGAAACACTGCCGAGTTGCTCCATTTTGCTTTCTTCTGCCACAACCGTCTTTTTATCTATTGGTATTGAACATGAATCCTCTCCAAATCCTAACTTTCACGTAAAACCCCAAAAGCTGCCCAGCACAGAGGTATTTATTGTATGCATGTGGACAGTAAGAGTCTCTACAGAATGAAAGGAGCAGCTTGCGGGGGTCTCAGCAGGGTATGCCGCCGAGAGTGCCGTAAAAGCTGTCTGTGGAGACGAATACAATTGTGAAGAAGCGTTATTTATACGCAGAGACATTCAATATAGTCATCCAGCCCACTCATTCTCTTGCGTTACTCCGCATTTCTCTCTCACTCTCTCCATCTCACATTCAGATGCTCCTCCTCTGTTCCCCCACAGTCACTGAAGTTCCTTTTCTTTGCAGGAGCTCATTGAGAAACTCACGTCAGTCAAACGGCCCCCGTTCATTCAGAGAGAACCCTGATCAGTCAAACAGAAACACTATCACACTTCCAACTGTTCAAACAGAAGAACGCATTCTGAACATATAAAATTAGTTCATTATAAAATCCTAAAAAAAATACGTTGCTAAAACAGACTGAAATAATCTGAATTTAACACGAGAATGTCCTCGTCCGCTTTTGTCTGATCTCCATCAGGTTAATGCGACAAATACACGCTGGCTGTCATCTTAGAGCTATCAACCCAGAAACGTCGACAGTTCAATCAGGGGGTAAAGTGGCCCTCTGGTCCTCTGGGATGTGGGCATTATCGCATTGCTGTGCTCAGATGTGCGTGTTTCGCGGCGGCGACGGATAAGCGCATGTTATTGCCGTCCACGGTCCCAGGTGCTCCATAAACGGATTAGCGCAGCGGCGTGGAGAGCGGAGCCCGTGCGCCACAGGCCAGGCGGCCCTCAGAACAAGAGCAGCGCCACAGCCGCCCGTCCTGACTTTAATTGACATCTGACCGCTTCTGCCGGATTGGCCTGAGGGACAAAACATCAAAAGTGATAGCTATTATTGCGATTATTGGAAATTTCCCACGTGAGATTCATAAAATATCTATCTATCTATCTATCTATCTATCTATCTATCTATCGAAAACCCATACAATCCATAAAACATTTATAATCATTCTTATACCGCATATTCATACTAATATTATATAATAATTATATTTTTAGATTTTTGGATTATATTTTATTATGTAAAATTTTTAAAGAACAACATGAAAAGGAGGAAGAAAATGTTTGCTTTTTGTTGTCGTTGATTTAGGCTACCACTCGTGTAGACATGCATTCACTTGTAAATTAAAGAATAAATTGAAAACCATGCACTACAAGAATGACTCGCATCGTTGTTTTTCTTAATATTCCAAAAAAAAAAACTCAGCCTCAGCAATAGTATTATTATTATTACAGATCAAAGAACACTTAACTTTTTTTTTTAATGACGTTCATTCAAGCACTATGTACTAATAATATTTCGCTAATTTTATAACTAAGTTTAAAGAAGAACTCGTCACGCAAATCTAATATAGGGGAAACTAGGCTTTTCCCTGTTGTGAGTCGTTTAATAATGCCCTGAAATCTGTATCAAGAAAAGACAACTGGCGAAAAAGTGATTTAGTAACATGGGCTATATTAAATACATGCACAAATATAAAAGTGCAAAAGTAAAAAGTTGCTATATCTGAAGATTATTTCTAAGTGACCGGACCCCTTAAAACTATTTCGTTAGCCTGGTAGTCAGGTCGATTAAGAGTTATAAATCATAGTCTAATCATGAATTGAATAAAAAAACAACTCATTTGAAAGTTACAGTAGAGCGCATTTTCGTTCTTATAGCATTGGCACAACAAACTTTAATTAATTCTTTGCATTGCATATCCCAGAAACCCCTGCTATGAACAAATGTTTCGGGCGAACATGAGCTCTTTCCCCTCGCTTACAGTGCAATAAACACTATAATAATGTTTTCAGATTGAAGAATGTCTATTGCTCACAACAGGCTCGTGGTAACTCGATATGGTCATAAAGTGAGTGGGGATATATGCGGAATGAGGAGAGACTCAGTTTGATTATCTTTAAAGGGATACTGGATATCCGTGTCAAATCAATTTCGGAGTGAAAAATCCAAGTCAGAAATTTTCTACATCGGTGGAAGAAAAGACATCATAAATAAAGAGGCAAACGCCACACTGGAGAAATGTAAGCGCCCCTGGTTTAGTTTAGACTCTAAAACCAAATAACCCCGGGATGTGTTTCATAGAACTCTAGAAAAAAATCCCATTATGATTAAACTCAAGAACAATGTTTCAGCTCTGAGGAGACACTGACTGCGATAGACTGAAACAGAAGCGAAGTGACTCAAGATACGGTTTGATGTTCACTCTCAGCAGTAGGTCATTTCTGCTCGTAATTTATCATTTTTGAATTCATAACTCCCTTTCTCGATTTCAAACTTCACATGTAAAAGGTGAAATGGCCTCTCTGCTCCAAACCGGATAAGGGTCACACAGGTTTTCAAAGTAAACTCGAATATACTTGTAAATTCGAGTTTACAGTGATGTATTATAAAACTCAGCCCACTCAAATTAAAGTTCAATTACTGACGTATTAAAAACTAAGGGGTCCAAATTCATTGTACTCTTTTCATTGCCGCTTTTGAAACTTACAAAAAACACATCATAATTATACTAAAAGGATAAAAGAAAAGACGTGTTCAAGGATAGGCTACATAACATCCACAGCTACAGTTACAGCAGGCGGGTGAACATGACTCACAGTGTGACTCTAATCTAAAACTTTTTTGAATACTTTGATAATTATTACGCGATTGAGAGACATGGACGTTTTGATGCCATTTGTCACTCACAAAATTATTTAAACGCAAAGTTGAAAGTGATCAGATAGTCAACAGTGCAAATAACAGTCCAGCTAAAATATACACATCTAACTATTTTCTACATTTTAATATACAATTATAATTACTGCATGTCAGCTACACCTAAAACTTCGATTTGCCAGCGTCTCCGAGCAAATCGAATGTTTTGCTGTGTAATAAATATATCTTTTGTTTACATATATACATATGAAATAACAAGCAGCTTATGGAAACAGCTCGAACTATGTATTTAACTAAATATGTAAAACATCCCAACTCGTTGTCTAATGCTTAAGTAAATATTTACCGCTCGAGCTGCTGTGGGAAACACATCGCTCTTACAGTAAAGTGACAAACTACTCAATAATACTTCTCTTCACAATGGAGTCTTGCTGTTGTGATGACTTTATTTACTCCCCCGGCTCATTAGAATAACTATAAAGGGATGGATGTTAGCAGTTTCCTTCTCATGTTCAGCTCACAGCAACACTAACAAGAATTGCCAACAATTTTGAGATGAGATTTGTTTGCAATTTCCGCATTAGCCAATAATCTGTTTTAAAGGTATAGTTCATCCAAAAATGAAAATTTTGTCATCAATTACTCACTCCTGTGTCTTTCCAAACCTGTATGACTTTCTTTTGTCTGCAGAACAAAAAAGAAGATATTTTGTAAAATGATGGAAACCAAATAGTTTTGGTTCCTGATTTTGAAGAAAGCTGGTAACCAAGCAGTGTCAGTTCCCACTGACATCAATTTTAAAGTATGTTGGTAATCAAACAGTTTTAGTTCTCATTGACTTCAATTTTGAAGAAAGTTGGTAACCAAACACGATCAGTCCCTATTGACTTCCATTTTGAAAAAAGCTGGTAATCAAACAGCGGATCCCATTGACCTCAAGTTTGAAGTATGTTGGTAACTAAACAGTTTTAGTTCCCATTGATTTCCAATTTAAAAAAAGGTTTTAACCAAATAGTTTCCCACTGACTTCCATTTTGAAGCATGTTGGTAGTCAAACCGTTTTGGTTCCCGATGACTTCCACTTTGAAGAAAGTTGGTACCAAACAGTGTTGGTTCCCACTGACTTCCGTTTTGAAGTATGTTGGCAACCAAAGAGTTTAAATTCTCATTGACTTGGATTTTGAAGAAAGTTGGTAAATACTTTCAGTCCCCATTGACTTCCATTTTGAAGAAAGCTGGTAACCAAAGTGCCGGTTCCCATTTACTTCAATTTTGAAGTATTTTGGTAACCAGACACTTTCAGTCCCTATTGACTTCCATTTTGAAAAAAGCTGTTAACCAAACAGCATCGGTTCCCACAGACCTCCAATTTGAAGTATGTTGGTAACTAAACAGTTTTAGTTCCCACTGACTTCCATTTTGAAGAATGTTGGTAACCAAACAGTTTTGGGTCCCATTGAATGGACAATAAACATAGTAGAAGTCAATGGGAAATTAGACTGTTTTATGTTCAGCAACAAATAAAAATAAAAATGCATACATGACTGGGAAGACATGAGGGTGAGTAAATGACAGAATTTTATTTTTGAGTGAACTATCCCTTTAAGAACAGTATGTGCTTGATAGTGAAAATTCACAAAATTAAGAAAAGAGATTGTCTTTGTACTGTACTGTACACCTCAAAATGTACAA